TATAATGACGATCATTTTTCATTAATGATGCATCATAGTTGCAAATCGTTCGAGGACCATGAGAACATCTCGACAATTGATAAATCGCTTTTGAGATGAGTCCTAATTCATTAATTGTGTAGGTATTAGACTTTCTAATATTTCCTATTCTCAAAAACAACTATTAAAAATTTTGTTATGTGGAAAAAGATATTTTGTTCGTATATTTATATTCCCAGTAGAATCCAACAGGTCCAAAACTTTCGAACCGTATTTGGATTCTCTCAATAAAATTTTCTAATCAGAATTGAATAGTAGCCCTAAAGATGCAAAATACTTTTTTCCAGTTTTTTGTATCCGGTGATCAGTGTACACTACACATTTCTCAGATGACTAGAGCTCGTCAGATCCGAAATTTTTTCGCTGGACAGGTTCTAATTCTAGTATACGCGATAATAGAAAGTCTGATAGTTTGACAATATGAAGTAGTTCGAATGAGAACTCGAAAGTAAGTTTTAAAGGTAATCTGAAGCAAAATCATTACTTATTGAGATTTCCTCAATAGTTTTATTAAAATTCCTTGATAACGAAGAGATAGAATCGAAAGCACACAAACACAAGAGATATTTCTTTTGTCCGTCTCAAAAACAAAAATTATTCCAGTTAGTGAATAACTCATTTTATTTTGAATGAATATATTTAAGAAAAATCCTCTGAAAAAAAAAATCGATATAATTTTCCTATTATTCTCATGTTTATATCTTTACATGCTTTTTTTTTTAATTTAGCCTTAATCTTTCTTCGTCTTTCAAAACGAATTCATCATAATAAATATGTCATGGTTTTTCCAGCAACAACAGTTAATAATCGTCATACACATAACATAGAAGTAAAAACAAAAAACGAAACTTCATTTCTTAACTTAATATTTAAGAAAAACAAAAATGAATTTTTTCTCACAGGTACCAATTCGTTCATTTGTTCATCATCGTCAACATAGTCCTGAACATAGTGGAATAATAAATATTGATAAAGAATATTGTGATAAACTTCGATTATTATTTGATCTTTCTCGTAGATATCGTCATAGAGTATCATATTATCATCCAATAATGCCAAGTATTGATGATAATGAATTAAAAAATGATATTGTAAATGGACCATCATCACCACAAACAGAACGCCAATCATCAAGTTCTGGAGTTTTTTCTTTAAGAAGAAAACGGTTGAAAATTTACTTTTTATTTTTTTAATAATTATTATTATATAACAAAAATTTTTCTTTTTAGTGAATCATTATCACCATATTCTGATAGCCATATCAATGATAATCCAAAATCTTTTATATTATTAGATCCAAAAAATAAATTTGTAAGAAGAAAAAAAATATCATTGTATATATATTGTTGTTGTTGTTGTTATTGTTTTTCTTCAGCTTTTTCATAATGTTTCACATGAAATTCAACAACTTCATCCAAGTTGGGAACAAGGACGAATTAAAGATCTTGCATTTGAATATATTTTAGCTACAGTAAACATACAAATAGTTTAGTTTTTTTTTTCTTAAAAAGATTTATTTTTGTTTTTTGAATTTCAGCAAGATCAATGTGATTATTTAATTAGATTATTTACACGTCTTGCAAACTTCGATCGAACACAAGCATTAATTGATGATGATATTGTGTATGAAAATATTGAATTTTTTTTCTCGCATACATATAACTTAGAGGAATGTTCGATTAGAAAAAAACGATCACTATTTTTGAAAACTCGACATTTATGGTTTCATATACAACATTTATGATTCCCAAAGTTAATAATTATGTTCCTCACTCTAAGTAAAACCTCACTTAGATTAAGATATATAATATGGACGGATACTCTACAAAGCGTGCTATTTACTTTTACGTGATAGCTTTGAAAACTTTTGTATTTTTACAAGCAATTTTTGAAACAGCGATTACCGACTTTCATGAAATTGGCTCTTTAGCGGAAGCGCATAGATGAAATTTCACTTATTGTAATATTTCATTTTTGCACAGAATTCAGTAATGTTGAGTTGAAGCTGTTTTTTACAAAAATTTACTGATAGTTGTTTAATCCCATCCTAGAATGAAAATCTGAACATATATTTGGAAATAACGAAAAGTCTCGATTCTAATTAGTTGTCTTTTAATAACCGAAAAATGAACAAGTATTTTGTACTAAGTCTTTCATGCTATTGATTTTATTTTTGATTTTAGGCCACAATCAAAAAAATACAAATCACTTCTTACAGTAATTGAAAAGTTATATTTAGCTATGGATGAACTTGGATTTTCACCTACCAATGGTAAATAATTCTTTTTCTTCTTTTTGTTTTTAATGAAAAAGAAAAATCATTTTTATGTTTTCTTTTTGTCGTTTAGAACTTCAACGAGTTTTACTTGAATTATCATATCGTGTTATGCCATTTGATCGATTTGTTGCTGCTATTGATCAAAATATTCTTACATTAACAGAAGAATTTGTTTCACGAGTTATTCTTGGTTAGAAAATTGCATAAAAAAATAATTTGATTTATTTTCTTTTTCCTATAGAATTAGATGATGATCCAGAATCATATACAATTAAAGAACAACTTATTTTTATGTTACCAAATATTAATTCGGTAAAAAAAAATGAAATAACGATTATTATCGAAATTATTTTTATTAGTTTTATTGAATACATTTATGTGAGAATCATAAAAAAAACCGTGATTGTTTTTGATAATCATCAAAATTTAATTAGAGCCATACGAATTCATTATTGATACTTACGGGAGAATGTTTCTTCAAGACTTAGGTGACAGACCTTGATAAGAATAGTCTATTGTGAAAGTTTCAGATTTTCTGATTGCTTCTATTCTGAAATAAGTACAGACGATTTCCCTAATAACGACGGGAAAATTTTATCTTACCTTGTTTTGTTTGGTACTCGACTATCGTCTATCCAATCAAAAATATTTTTATATTTGGAGAAACCTTCGATTCTCTTCTTTTCAATGATATATATATATATATATAGGTTTCCTTTTATTTACGTGTTATGGTGGAGAAATTAGCAGTCTACAATGAAGGGACCAACTGTCACTATTGCATTAACGACAGTTGGACCCTTCATCGTAGACCGCTAATTTCTCCACGATAACATTGAAGTAAAAGGAAACCTATGTATCATTGGAAAGAAGAGAATCCAAGTATTCTCCAAATATAAAAATATTTTTGATTGGATATACAATAATCGAGTGCCGAATAAAACAAGGTAAGACAAAATTTTTCCGTGGTTATTGGAGAAATCGTCTGTACGTGAACCGCGTAAGAAAAAATATTCTTTTACCGTAGCCGTATCTTAGGATAGGAAAATCAACAACAACGATCGGAAACTCATACAATAAACTATTCTCGTTAAAGTCTGTCTCTATACAATGTTTCACATTGAAATTCGAAACTTAGTTTTTTTAGTATGTCTGGGGGGGGGGGGGGAGTCACACAGTATTATACTATTCATATTTCATTACGACCTATTTGTTGCATATAGTCCTGATTCAAAATCGATTTAACATTCAGAAGTATTGCCTCGTCAGTTTAATTTCAATATGATAAACTTAGTTCGAAAACAAAAGAATAAATCGAATAATGTCAACATATGTGTGAAAGATAAGGTCCATTAGTTGACAAAAATTTTCATTGAAACCATATGTTTGTTTTGATAATATTATTGAATATTGTACTTAATTTATCTGACAATAGAGAAGAATGTATTCTCTAATAAAAGGTTCTAAAAAAACGGTTTGAATTATAGTATTTCATAACATTACGAGTCAGTTTGTTTCATACTTATCTAACAACGTATTAGATTTTCTATTTGTTTGAAGTTCATCGTACTAATAGATGTTAATATTTTGTGTGCTAGCGCTTTTATTGTTATTGATTTGCATGATCACAGAAATGAGACTTTAATTTTCGATTTCCGATCTGTCTCGTATCTAACAATTCATTAGAGAAAATTAAATTCGATAAACAGTCAACTCAATCATCGAGCATTACAAGTATAGCGACAAGATAATTGATTTGATCATCGATAATACAAAACTAATATTCAAGGAGACTATCGAAACTCTAGAATTTGATTCAAGAGTCAGATGATGTTGACATTTTTAATACAAATACATAACTGCCATGGTGTATAATATAGGAAATCGGAAACGAGAATGTAGTAGCCGAATTTTTTTCGGCTCGAGACATAGTCGATGTTTTGACTCAATCATCGTATTCCTGTTTTGAAGTTTCTATCATTTTTTACAAGTTTTCCTGTTGGAAATGACGTCTTTCCCGTAAGTTCCGACCGGAAATCTGGAGAAACGATCATCGAAACCATTAATTTGAGTTATATTATATAGTTTGAATCAGTACATTTATCTATCATTCTTAGTAATACTATTCTTACCTTTCTTCTAAGCTGAACATCATTATTTTCCTACATATGTAGACAACAACCTTTTTAATAACGCTCACTTGAATTTAATAATAACCGCTACAAAAATTCTGTAGTAATTATGAAATAGATTATGTCAAACAACGTATGAATATATGAAAGAAAAAAATCTTCATGTTGATCAAATGAGAACTAACTCGTGCGTTAAGAGAAAATATGTATCACGGAAAATACAACGTATTAGAAAAATAATTATGTTGGATTGAGAAAAACAACAGGCAGAAGTAGTAGCAATAGAAAAATATCTTTTGTTTTTCATATCTAATTTGACCCTGGTTGACGCATTGCTAACTTTATCATGAAAAAAAAATCTAATAACGAGACTGAATAAGACGACTTATATAATAAGAAGTAATTCTACTAAAATGAACATCATATATTATAAATGATTTTTATGAAACATTTTCATAATAATTTAATTATCTAAGTGCAATCAACTAACATCTTTTTTTTTTGATTTTTATTCTTATTTGTCTCTTTATTAGATGAGTATAAATCCTTAAGAAAATGTACACTTTGATATAAAATATTGAACTCTTTCATTTGTTGTAAATAATACTTTCAATAAATTTCTTTTTCGTATCATAATATTAAACTGTCATTATTATAAAAGATGAATTAATCATATTCTAAATACCTTTATTCAAGAAAAAAATTCATTAAAAATCGATCACATACGATAGGTAGTTTTTTTTTCTTGATTATCCTTCGTATGATTTGTCTCTTCATGTATTATACAATCTATCTTCCATATATGATGATTGACGACTTTCTATTTTCTTTTTATATATCAGTTCTTCTCAAGCCTTTTTGCTTCTTTTTATCAGAAAAAGAAAAACTATTTGATTGATAAATGTAATTATCTTATCCTTTCACTAGATCATCAAAGTTTTCGGAAATATATTATGTATATATATATATATATATACATATCTATAAATAGTAGTTGAATGTAAGTTTATTGTTTTCTTTTTAGGATTTACATTCACGGTTATTTGCTTTAATAAAGAATGATCGTGCTAAACGAACGACTGCGCAATTACTTGTCACTCGAAGTTTTTCGACAGGTGATGTTCATTGATATGGAACAGCAATAAATGATTATAGGATTATTTCTTTTTCTATATAGATAATAGACATAGAAGTGCAATATCATCGTCTTATGCACATGCAACTTCACATGAAAGTAAAAGAATAAAAAAATAAGAAAAGAAACGTTTGACTAATTCGATTAATTATCATATATGTCTTTCATTCATACGAATAGTTCAAGTTGATGAAATGATGGATATGAATAGCAATCAAAATGGTACTAATACTCATAGTAGACTTGTCGAACAAGCTGTAGTCACTTTCTTTCGTGATTGTAATCAACGGGGTACATATAATGAAATAAAACAAAAAAAAATATAATACGAAAAAAAAAACCTAACCAATATTGTATATTATTGTAGGAATATTGGACGAAGATGAAATGAGTCAAGTTAAAACTGGACTCTTTTCCTTGGCTTCATCAGCATCATAAGAAAAATATATGAATAAGAGACATCAATGACTTATGTGACTTTGATAGATATGACTAGAGATTTTTTTTTTCAATGTTATATGCGCTCTTTTTTTTTTCTTCCATCTACCATTTGTGGATAATATATCATTGGCTGTCTTCGATAAGCTTACATGAAAAAAAGAAAAAAGAAAATCTGTCTTAATTAAGAAGCTCATAATCAAATCGATACTTTTGCTATTGCTCTTCAGAATATTTTTGGCTAATATTGCATGTTTGATCAGTTAGTTTCCTATATCATTGTTTTATTCATATTCTTCACATTCTTTTGATTTTCATTCTAGCTGCTTATAATAGTAATCTATCTTTTCTAATAGGCTCATATCATAGTAAAGCTAGTGACAGATAGGATACTTAAATAATTTTCCATCTAAGGACAAAATAATAAATTCGACACATAAAATTCTTCTGATTCCATAAGAAAAAAAAAAGAAAGTCTATTAGCATACAAGAAATATAACGTTGATACGTTCGTGTGTGTATCAATCTCATTCTCATTATTTAAGCTTCAAATATATTATTTTTCTATATAATGCTTAAAATACATCATAGTGTTTTTTTTTTCACTAGTAGTTTTTTCTTTTCTGTTATATTCTAGTCGTCAGCTAACCATTTATTTCTTGAGAAAAAAAAAATAAGACTACCAACTGTTCAAATATACTTTTATTTGTCTAAAATAATATATATATATATTAGTTTCGAAATATGTTTCTATTTTTAAAATTTGTTGCTACCCTATGAATGTTTTTCTCTTAGTTTTTTTTGTTTGCTTTTTTTGTTCTATTAATTTGTTTTCTTCATAGAATAATGGATCCTTTACAATCAGAACAAGTCGGACAACATTTACCAACTGTCATTGAATATCAACCATCAATTTCAATAAATAATAATGATTTAGTTACAAAAAATGACAATAATGATGATCATCAAGCACAAATACGTCGTCGTGCACCAACAAGACATTCAATAAAATCATTACCAGGTCGAAAAATATTATCAAGACAAACTTCAGTAAATGAGGTAAAATAACTAGTTTTTTTCTTTTATAAGCTATTCATTTTTCTTTTTTTAATGTACATTCATATTCTTTTTTTTTATCACGTTTTAAATTATGTCAAACGTGAAATTATTTCATCAGATGTTTTCTTTTTTACTATTTCTCTTTTTTTTTTTGATTTATTCTCTTTTAAATATATTTGCTCGACCTGTCAGTGTTAGACATGCGTACATGTTCGTTTTGAAAAAAAGGAGAAATTGCCTTATCAGCTGTGCACACATGACAGTTTATTATGTATGTTTGATACTTCCTTTTTTTTATATGTGCAGCTGTTTTTCTTCATTGATAAATTATAGACAATAGGAACAAAAAAAGATAGAAAATTTAAGAAGAAGATATTTAACTTGTAAGAATACATCATATTGATAGTCGTTTGATACGAATAAAATTCTATTTTGTTTGGTCCATTTTAGCTATATGATGCTCTTAACATTTAGCAATCGTTCTCTCTATGTATTCTGTCTTTTCTTTTTTGTTCTTCTTCTTCTTCTTTTCTTCTTTGCAGTTCTTGCACGACCTCATATATATATATATATATATATGTAAGCATTTCTTCTATCGTATTCTATTGCTTTCTCGGTCCTTCTGTTTTTTTCTTCTTTCGTCGTCATCTGTCGAGCGAGCGTGCAAACGACCGACCGTCCGTCCGTTCGTCCGCTGTTTGATACATGTCGAGCAGCCAGTTCTAAGCCAAGAAGTACAGAAAAGAGAGAGTTAGAAAGAGAAGAGTTGACATAGCGGACGCGCGTGTCTATGTTTTACGTCTGTATGTTTGTGTTAGAGGCATATATGAGATTGTGATGATGATTATACCAGTCAAGAAATGTCGAATCCATCAACCTGCTCATTAATATTGTAGAAAATATAACAAAACGAACAAACAGACGAACAAATATATTCAAGTGTTAACGAACAAAATGTTTGGATTCAAAACTTCAAGTAAGAGTAAACGAAAATCAAATAAAAATCCACCAACACCAATAAGTACATCAAATGAAACAAAACATTTTCATTATGTACCAAGTGTTTCACAAATTGCTCCACTTCCACAAAATAAATCTCATGGCATATTACCAGTTTTAAGTCTCGATGGACGTGATGCACCAATTTTGATGCAGTCAGAAACATCAGAAACTGATTTAACATCAAATACAACAACTTCAAATAATGAAAATGCTCGACAACCGGTGGGTGTATACAAAATAAGATTAATTGATCTTATTATATCGTCAAAGTTTGTTTTCATTACTAATATAGCATATTTTAATAACCTCAATATGGTTTTGAAAATATTTTATGGGAAAACCTTTTTCTATTTTCATGAGCATGGATGCGTAAGGATGAGCACGAACAAAGATCTTCTATTATATGTAATTTCTTTTTATAATTATGATCCCATTCATATAATAACTTTATAGATCTTTGTATGTTTTTTTCTTTTTTCTTTGATTCAATTCATTTTGATCATTATTAATAGTTTTTTTCTTCTTTTTCTTTTCAAATGATTCATTATTTTTACATTTTGAGGCGTCAGTTTCTTTCTTGGTTTTTTTTTTCTAATTTATTTTTCTATATTCATTCAACCACTTATACGCTTAAAGTAGACCGTAATGCAATCGAACGTAATGAAAGAAAGAACTAGAATACAAACATTCTTATGCAAGAGTCAGATGTTTTATTTTGCAGTGTTTCCAAACTATGACGCATATTGATTCATGAATGAAATATAAGCACAATGAATAATAGACAAAAAAAAAAAATAGAATAATTACAATCAATATGCATTACTCATCTAAGGCTGTTTTTTTCTTTTTTGGTTGCTTGTGATAGATAAGAATAAAGAAAAAAAATAGCATAGATAATTATATTATGTTAAATAATAAAAAAAAAGCAGAGAAACTAAGATAAGAATACATGTTATTCCTTCGACAGAGAAAAGAAATCTAGTTATTCAATTTTGTTTTTGTTCATTACATTAATGTTGACAATTAAATTATATTCGGAATATTTAGACTAGTAGAAAAATTTATTTATAAGGTTAAAAAAAAGTTTTATTTACAATAATAAATAGAAATATACAAATTAAATAGAATATTGACATTAATATAGATAGTTTTCTTACGAAATTATTTTTCTTCTACACAATATGTTATTTTGTATTATTTTTTTGTGAGAATAATTTTCATTTGGGATCAAAATATATGTTAGCATACAAACTGACGAGGAAACGTTTCGAAGTGTCAAATCTCTTATGAGTTCACACTATGCGTATTATGTTGGTTTCAATGACCTGTGAATATTCTCAAAAGTGTTTGGATTAATAATTTATTGCTGCCGAGATACGATGTTTTTAGCAGAATGCTGTAGTGTCTCTCAGGAAAACTGAATTTCGACTTGAAACTTTGCATAGAAGCATACCTTCAATGAGAATAATTTATTGTAAAAGTTTCAAATCTTTTGATTGCTTCTATTTTAAGATATGACTATGATTAAAAGTATATTTTTCATGCTGCTCATATACAATGACTAATTCCAGTGTTCTTATTCTAGAACAGATGCAATCAAAAAATCTGAAACTCTCTCAATAAACTATTCTCATTAAGATCTATCTCTATGCAAAGTTTTAAATCTAAATTTGAAACTTAGTTCTCTTGATATCCCTGAGGGAGATCACGGCATTCTGCTAAAAGATACAGTATCTCAGTAGCAATAAGCTGAAAGCACGAACTCTTTTCAGGACATTTATAGCTCATTAGAACCTAAATGATCCACACAGTTTCAACTCAAAAGCGATTTGACATTTAGAAACGTTCTCTCATGAGATTATGTCCAATGTTAGATTGACGACTTACGAGCAAAACATTTTCGACTAATCAATCACTTTCTCATCGAAAGTTAGTGGAATGTAGATTATTGACCATGCTAGTTTCGAAAATAACCATGGAAAATCTCCTTAGATCTATATATAATAGTTTTTCAGACGGATCGACTTTTCCTCAAAATCTCTTTTTTTAATCTATCTAGATCACAGATCATATCGAATCGTCTAGAAAATAGCAGATTTTTCTGTTTCAAATTAGTTTTCTTTCTGCAGAGAATACAGCTCATTTAATTCATACTATAGCTACATATCGCCATTTCAATCTGAAAATTTTCAAAATGGTAGTATTTTACTTAAGATTCATTTTTAAAGAAACAGAAAAGATTAATGACTCATAAGCAGCTGGATATGCTATATTATATCAGAAGAGCCAAAACAATTTTGCCAAAATATCTATTAGTCTGGAAAGCGAGTATATATAGACTTCAGGGCATTTAGTACAGTCATATATGGAATCAATATAAAAGATAACTCATAATTCAGTAGTGTCTGGCAAGAAAGCGATTGATCAGCTGATTATTTTCTTTCGTTAGATAAATTTCGGATATGAGATTTGACGCATCCAATGTTGGAGTATGTAGAAATCTATGCTATAACTCGAATTAGTGTTTGAATCGATGTCATATGTGGATTTCTATTGATTAACTAAGAGCAAAATAATGGAATTTCAATTAATACAATTATCAGTTGATTAATTAAATTTGAATTCGTGAAATTATGAACGATTTTATAGATAAAAACTGTTTTAATAGAAATTGTTCATAACCACCATTCGAATCTTTACTTAATTCGTCCATTGATGATTGTATTAATTGAAATTCCATTGTTTCTTTCTCAGTTGATCTGTAAGAATACAAATATAATATTGATCGATAAAAACAAATTCGAGTTTTATCATAAATTTCTCTCTTAATTCGATATTGAACGTAATCTCAGTTTAAACGTTAACATATATATGTATAGATAATTAATACGTTATCGAACAGATTTTTTTTCGATCTGAATTCTAATTAATCAATTCAT